AAAAAGAAAAGAAACACTTTCTCTAACTTTCTTCATTTTTCTACAAACATGAGTTCTTAGTACAAGGGACTGGAAGGAGAGATGTCGGCAGATCCCAGCCTAACGTATGGATGGACAACTCAGGCCTTATGTTCTACCCATGGAGTTGCAGAAGCATCAGCTTCATACACAAAGCCCCTAAGTCTGCCGATAAGCATTTACTGAATGCTCCGACTGTGTTCAGGGCTGAGTTATGTGGCGAGGTCAGTGTGTTATGACGCCAGCGTGGTGGATGCCAGACTGGGAGCCAGGAGATTTGCCAATTACTTGATTTTCAGAAACAAAGCAAAAAACCCCCAAAACTTCCCCCTCCTAGGGCCTCAGTTTCCTTATGTGTAAAATTAGGAGACTGTCATGGTTAACCTCAGCCTTAGGTTTCTTCCAAATAGAACTGTGGCAGATTCCAAAGTAGGATAATGCGTTCACAGGCTTCCCGATAGCTGGGAGATTGAGCAATTGCACCCTAAATTGTGTTGTTTCTAAAGAGCACAGGTTGGTCCACCTGGATGTCTGGGCACCTTCTTCTGAGGTGATGCAAAGGGGCCACTCAATGGGTCCTTGCTCATAATGCTCCAGCTATACTGGCTTTCTGCCCATTCCTGAACTCACCAAGCTAGCCCTGTCTCAGGGCCTTTGCACGTGATGATTTTGCTGCCTTGAGCTTCCTACAGGAATGGTGGCTGGTTCCTCCCTTCTCATCCTTCAGATTTCCTTAGATGCCACCTTCTCTGAAAGTGCCATCTCTTACTACCCTTAAGAAGATGTTCTTCTCTTATTTGAGTGTGCATTCTCTTGTGATCTCCCAATTTGTAATTATTTTACTTATTTCTTGTTTTGTGTCCTTTCATTCTGTTAGCTCCATGTAAGCAGGGGTCTGCTTTGCTTTTTTCAGAACTGTATACTCAATGTCCAGTACAGAGTAGGTCTCAAAACATATTTGTTAAATGAATGACGTCGCAGCTCCACAATTCCAAGGAACCAATGATACCTAAAGCTGTTTCCCCATGAAGTCCCCGTCTTTTGGGTTCCCTGCAGCGGGCTGGGCTCACACAGGCTGCAGTAACTTCCTTCTCACTGTCGGCTTTCCTTGGATCGCGGTATCTCTTTTCTCGGAGGAAAAAGGGTCTTATGATCTCATGGCACGCTCTCCTCTGCCTCAGTGATGTCATTAATGCACTCACCCGCCACAGCCCAACCCCAGGGCTCTTTCCCTCCCTTTAAAAGGCCCGATTATCCCCTAAACTCTGCACTCCACGCGAGCCACAACTCTTACGTCACGTCCGTCCGCCCGCCCGCGCGGTGATGACGTCACGACCCAGGGCTGGCGTCAGGTGCCCCCCCCCCGCAGGGGGCGGGCGTTGAGGGCGGCGCTTCCGGTTCGCGGAGCCTGGCGGCCAGAGCGGCGGTGGCGGCGGCGACGGCCGAGACGCGGGGATGGCTGGCGTCGGGAGCGAAGCCCGGTTCGCCGGGCTGTCGCTGGTGCAGCTCAATGAGCTGCTGGAGGACGAGGGCCAGCTGACAGAGATGGTGCAGAAGATGGAGGAGGTGAGCCGAGCGGGACTCGAGGCAGCAGCTGTGGGGCCTCAGCGGGGTTCGCTCCTCGAACGGTGGCCGGAGGCAGAGGCGACCGCGGCGCCTCTGGTCGTGTTGAGAGACTCGGACTAGAAATGGGGGCGCTTGGAGCGGGGTTCGGGAGCCGGGGAACCATGACTGGTGCTTAGGCAGGAATGGGGGGCCTGGGAGGGGATTCGTGGGACTGAGGGGACCGAGACTGGGGGGAGGTGGGAAAAGGGTCCTGAGACGGGGTTGGGGAGCCGACTGGGAGTCCTGAGACAAGGTTTTGGGGGGCTGAGGACTCAAGGCTGGGTCTGAAGTGGAGGTTAGGGAGCTTGGAATGGGAATTTGCGGACTAGAGTGCTATGGGTGGGTCTAGGGGGAAGAGAAGGGAATTGGGGAGATCTGGGATTGGTTTGGCAGGGGAAGAGTAATAGAGTCTGAGTCGGAGGCAAGGATTAAGGGTGACTGAGGGGGACCAAGAGCTAGGTCTGGTAGGGGTTGGGGGGTTTCCTTTGAGAGGAAAGGTTGGGGGCATCCAGAGGGCTGAGGCAGTTAGAGGGGATCAGAGTAGGTTTTGGGGGACTGAATGGACTAGCCAAATAGGACTCTTAGGAGAGGACTGAGGGTTCCAAGATAGGTTCGGGAGGCTGAGGGTCTGTAGCGGAGTCTGGGAGGTGATTCTAAGGGGCTTTAAGAGTTGGACTAGGGCCCGCAGGGTTTGGAGGCAGGAGGCCATGTTCATCTCATAGCCAGGGAAAGGTTTGAAGGTTCCATATGTCTAAGGGGTCCCGAGTGCCCCTGGAGTCTAAATTCTTTTGAAGTGGCCCTAGCAGAGTTATCCCAGGGTTCGTGGATGGGCCTAAGGGTGGCGACAGGATCCCTTTTTCTGCAAGGGTTGCCCGCTCCACGGAGAAAAAGAAGGTGGGAAATTTTGTGTGGCTGGCTTTGTACCACTGTGTCCCACGTATCTGGGACTAAGAAAGGTTCCTGGAGCTGTTTCGGGAGAAAGATAAAATGGGGGTTTGGGGCTGGCTGCCAACCCTCAAGTCTGAGAGTTAAGCCCTGCCCAGCCCCTGGAAGGCATGTGCCAGCCAGCCCTTGTTTCTGGTTATCTGCCTCCGTACCTTGAGATGTGGTTTGCTCTTGGGTAACTGACTTCATCCTTGCAGATTTGCAGTGTGGGCTCCTCTTCTCTCAACCCATTTGGACTCATTCTCGGAAAGTCTGATCTTACCGGTTTGGGTCTGCTCCAGGCAGGTAGACCCAGGCTAATCCCAGCTCTTCCTGGCCCACCTACCACTCCTCCTTTTTGTCTCTAAAGTCCGAGTCTTCCCATGCCAACAGTGCTGAGCCTCTCACCCAGGAGCCCTTGTGGGGGCTTTTGGCTTTCTTTCCGAAGCAGGATTGTTCAGCACCAAGCCAGCCCCCTTAAAAGAGAGCTTGTATGGAGGTTGCACATTCAAAATCCCTGGAAAACCCTCAACAGATCATTGTCCAGAGCCACAGAGAGGCCACTGTAGTAAGATGGTATCAGTCTTTCCATTAATACACCCCTTGTATTCATGGGCTTTGTAACTTGGCACATATAACGGGTGGTTCTGAGATGCAGTTTACCTCCTTTATGGTCTCCATGTGGGACCTTCCATTTTAGGGAATAATAAGTGACAAAATCCATCTTTCTTAGCTGAATGAGTTTCATGTCTCCAAAGAAAGAAAATCTTTGCTTAGTTTCTCTGCTTTTCAGTTGCTGGGAGACCTTTTGTTGATTGTCAGCAGGGTTTTTCTGGTTTAATAATAAAATGCTAGGTATATTTTTCTAATGTGTAACACTGCCTACGAGTTATTTTGGTTATGTGACTATTCTGTTGCAGTAAGAACAGAGTACTGTAGCTTTATTGGTGGAACGTTAATAGAAATAAACTGCCTTTTTAGTGGTGGGAAGACTGTAGAAAAAGTCAAGTTCATTTGGTTCACTTGGAGGCTGTTAGGGACAGCCTCACCTGTTTCCTCTACCTTAGAACCTGAAGATTGTTTTTTAAAGAGAAAGGTAAATTCATCTGGCAGGATTTTTTTTTTTTTTTTTTTTTTTTTTTTTTACATAAAAGTGACCTTCATACCGAAATACCCAACAGAAGTGTTGAGGACTGAGCGACTCCACTTATTAGCCTGCATAGTTCATGTGAAATTACTCAGCAGTAGTTTGCTTTTTTGGGTGTAGTACTTTTAAAACAAGGAAACAACTTGAAAACCAAAATACCTTGGCTCATTTAGTGAGGATCACTGTAGATCCTGTTGTCCTGGTATTATGTGTTGCCTTTTTCAGGGAATGGCTGTAACATGAACAACTGAAATTTTAGTCATGGTAGTTTCGCTCACGTGGTAAAGCTGTGCATTGGTTTATGTTGGGGGTGATTGTGAGACACAATAGAAGAAAATATGAACTGTTCATTTTCGACCAAATGGAACATTAGTGATGGCATGTTAAAGAACATTCTGGCTTTGGAATCACACACTCCAGACTGGACATGGCCACTTTCCAGCTGTGTGATTGCAGGCAGTCACTTCACCTGTCTTAGTAGCTGTTGGAAAAGGGTAATACGACAGTAATACCTATGTCATAGAGCTAATGTGAGGATCAGGTGAGATAGTTAGTGCTTGTTAGTACTTAACACAGCTCATCAATAGGGCTCAAAAAATAATTGCAATAGTTAATAATCACTTGTATTAATAGTTCTCTCTTGAAAGATGACTGACAGTCAATACCAGATCATCCTGAAAGTTACTAGGATCCCATTTCAAGAATGTTGAGTAAATTATGATTTGCAGTTAGCCTAAGAAACATTTACCTTTTCCTTTTTTTTGAGAAAGGATCTTTTTCTGTCCCCTGCACTGGAATGCAGTAGTGCAATCTCCATTCACTGCAACCTTCGCCTCCTCAAGTGATTCTCGTTCCTCAGCCTCCTGCGTAGCTGGGCTTACAGTTGTGCGTCACCATGCCCAGCTAATTTTTATATTTTTAGTAGAGACAGGGTTTCACCATGTTGGCCAGGCTGGTCTCAAACTTGTGGCCTCAAGTGATCTGCCTACCTCGGCCTCCCAAAGTGCTGAGACTACAGGTGTAAGCCACCATGCCTGCCCCACCCCTCATTTTATTTTTTTTAAAACCTTTTCTTTAAGAGACAGAGTTTCGCTTTTCCCCAGGCTAGAGTGCGGTGGCAAGATCATAACTTACTGCAACCTGACACTCTTAGGCTTAAGAGATCCCCCTGTCTTAGGCTCCCAGGTAGCTAGAACTACTGATGCCCGGTGACACCAGCTTTTTTTTTTTTTTTTTTTGGACAGAGTCTGGCTCTGTCACCCAAGCTGGAGTGCAGTGGCTGATCTCGGCTCACTGCAACCTCTGCCTCCCAGATTCAAGCGATTCTCCTGCCTCAGCCTCCTGAGTAGCTGGGATTACAGGCGCCAGCCACCAGGTCCCACTGACTTTTTGTATTTTTAGTAGAGATGGGGGTTTCAGCATGTTGGCTAGGCTGGTTTTGAACTCCTGACCTCAGGTGACCTGCTCGCCTCAGAGTCCTATAGTGCTAGGATTATAGGCGTGAGCCACCACACCCAGCCGCCACCAGCTAATTTTTTATTTTTGTGTTTTTGTGGAGATGGAGTCTTGCTATGTTGCCTCTTAAATACCTGGCCTTAAACCGTCTTCTCACCTCGGTTCCCCAAAGTGAGAACGTATGAGCCACCATGCCCAGCCATTTACCTTTCTATGGTCAAAATGATTATGTATTTGAGTAAGTACAGGATGAAATGCTAAATAAAATAGACCTTTCACAGCATAGCATCTCTTAACCTAAACCGAAGGATTTCTTTCCTTTTTTTTTTTTTTTTTTTAATTGGCAGAGGGAGTGTTTTAAATTGTAGAGTAAGACTTCTTTAAGCCTGAGGGGATATTTTGTGGAGGCTGGAAAATGTGGCTAGGTTTTGAAGGCATTCACTGTCAGGTTTAAGTGCAGCTGTTTATTATGCTTCACTTACATTGTTTTAATTGTGATGTGTGAGTTTCAGTGCAGTTTAAGTAGTGAACATGATTTCAGAGCTCCAGTCCTCATTTTGTGGGCCTGTGTGTCAGTTTCTCTCAGCCTGTTCCTCCTGTTCCTTATGCAGGTCCCTAAATGTAGTATATCCTTTGTGATCATATGCTCTTGCTTGTGCTGCAGGCTGACGTTTCATATGCATGTATTTTATTTTTATTTAAAGTTATTTTTACATGGCAGTGGAATGTGCCTTCATCTGTCCACATTAACCCCGTCGGACTTGCAGGGCACTCCCTTAAAAGGAACTGTCGCTTACGGGATTAGGCAACTAAACCAGACCTCTTGAGTCACTTCTCCACTGTGCTTTCTGAGGAAATGCTGATTGGTTGCTGCCAACTAAAGATTCCACTAATGATTCAAATTGGGGATCTTTGTTCCCATGGCATGAAAATGCCCATGCCCCCATGCAAAAATGCTGAGGGTCTGAAAGACAGATTGTTCTGTGGAAAGTAAAGAGCTTTGGTCTGGACTGAAGCTGTTTCCCTAAGGCGTGTTCGGGTGTGACTTGTGTGTGGGGCTGAAAGCTACCGCATGAATCATAATGGCTCATTGAAACGTAGTGACCTTGCTTTAAATCCAGGGACTGCCTCCTGCACACACACTCGGAATACTGGTAAGACTGTGTTTTACAAGCTAAGGTTTACACTCTTGGAGTATATACTACTACTGGAGTTTGTTTTCATCCGTGTTGGATAATCATTATGTACGTGGAAAGGCTTCAACTTTTACGTTTAAATCGTCTTTTTCATGGACCTTTTACTTGAGTAAAAAATTACTGTGCCTAGGAATATGTTCTGAAATTCGATTGTATATCATTTGTTTTTTTCTAAGTGAGGCATCAAGATTTCATGGAAAGCACGAAGCTGAGTTGTATGACCTTCTTGACTTAAACCC